AACAACTCACAATTATTTCTTTCTAAGTACTACGGTACTTTGTTTATGCTATACAAAACCACACACCTTATCGAAACCCTTCTGTAAAGTGTGGTCTTAAAGTGATACTAAACCCAAAACCCTGCATTCACTATATCTGGTCTCCCACAGTACACAGAACATGGAAATGCAATTATTTTAGTAAATATAAACTGCTAAATATCTTTTCTCATCAGAAGTATAGAGCAGTATTGTGACTTCTATCAGTGTCCAGCAGAGCACTGGTTAAAGTTTGTAGGAGTTTCCATTCTCCTCTGACTGTCCTATGAGATTGCATGACTCCTGACCCTCTGTCTGCACAGTTCCTATTGGCCCTGTGCTGATCACATGCACCCTTCCGAAAAAACCCCCCCCCCCAAAAACCTCTACACATACAAAACTGAGCATGTGCAGAGGGCTCTGTACTATCAGCAGATGGATTGGGGACAGTAGAAGAAGGGGAGGGTCAGACAGGACAGGATCAAACAGCCTTTTTACACAATGTGGAGGATTAACCCCTTAGGTTCCATAGTGAGTATACCAAGCATGTATTACTGCATATACATACTGATTTTTACTATTGTGGGTTTAGTAACATTTTAACTCTTATATCTGAGAGTCTCCATATCGGAGCATATATAGCAATGGATAAATGAAGGGCATATATGCCTGGGGACACATTGGACACCTTCATCTGCCATTGTGCTCCTGCTGAGCTTCTAGTGTGTCCCTGTACCTCTAAAGGAGGAATGAGCTGCCTCCAGGCATACCTGCCCTTAATTTATCCATTGCTAGATATGCTCCAGTACTGAAACTCTTAAATCTAAGACTTAGGACCACACCTTACAAAGGGGCCTTGACAGGGTAGAGCGGCTTCTAGATATGTGTGTCTCCTTTCGTTTCAATTCGTTCGTTGGCCGAAAAAGTTATTTTTGGAGATTCGGATGTGTATGAATATGCAAATGGCCATAGAAACGAATGTCAAAGAATCTGAAAAAAGTTATAATGAAATTAACAAATGCATTTGTTTCATTTGGATGACATCACATGATGCAATAGTAGTTTCCGCCCATGGGGAAATTAATTCCATTTTCAAATTTGTTTGATAATTTGAATTCAGATATTTCGTTCCATTTTTTAATTTGGATGCACATGATGCCAGTCCATATTGTCCAATCAGCTCATGCCATTTCTTTTGGTGGGTTGGACTAATGTCCGAAATAATTGCATCCTTCCGGTTTGAATCCGTTCGATTCGATAATATATTAAATATGTAGCAATCTCCTGGAAAAACTGCAAAATTTTTCCAATCCACCCAGGCCAAAAAATATACAAAACGAATGCTGAAGGTATAAAATGAATTCTGAAAACGGATCAGGTCAACATCCAGAATATAGCTAAACAAAATTCTTCAGTGAGCAATGAACAAAATCAATTTTCTGGAGCACACATGTCTAGCAGCTTCCACATATATTTGCAAATGTATGCATCCAAAAATCCTAAAAGTGTGTAGGTAGGTGCAGTCTATCTTTTCCACTGCATGTGGTGCTCGTCTTCAGTGGCAATGCAGATGGAGGAGCAAGTTGAGATGAACCTGTTTCCTCTATGGTTTCCTTGTTCATGGGGAAACAGCCATCCGATTAGATGCTGGTGCCCCAGGTGACTTTGGCAGCCATCTTAGGACAGGCAGAGTATATTTAAGTCTCTGGCTCCTGGGTTTCGCATGCACTTTTGTGAGTGGTAGTGTAGGGATGGTATTCCCATCTGTCAGGGACAGTGATTAGAGTCAAGGAAAGGTTCAGGAGAAGCAGGGAAAGTGCATGGAAACCCCATCCTTCCTGGAAACCTCCTCATTTGGCACGGATCGGCCAGGCTGCATTCCACAAGACAAATGCTGTGGGCACCCCTACCTCGTCAGACTACTGTTGCACTGTTGCCAAAACTTGTGAGTGTTCCTGGTCCGATTGCCTTCCCACCAGGCCTGTTGTGTGCTGCTTGAATTCTTTTTCAATATATTCTTTTTACTGCACTTGGACTCTGTGTGTTTTTTCCCTGCAGCATCGCGCTTCACTAACCCACAAGTGTGCTGTGAAAACTTTGTTACCACTTCTTTTATCAAAGAATTTTAGTCCATAATCAGTTATTTTAAGTGAAACCACCATTGTAGACTTCATGGGTGTTGTGTAACCTTTTTCACTGTTGGTCCTGATGAAGTGGATCTCTCTTTGAAACACATTGACTGCGGTTTACTGCTAATGAAATAGGATATCTATCATGTATATTCCGAGTGGTCACTTAGCAATTTCCTTTAACAGAAAATGTATTCATGTGGTTGTTTCTAATATGCCTATGCCAACCTTTCTTTCTTTGTGAACTGTGAATAATAAAACAGAATTTTTTGTGGTTTATCTATGTAATTAAAAGTGTGATTTTTTATTATGTATTTCCCCTGGAGTTAGTTTAGTCACATGCACTTTAATGTATTATCACCTATTTCCTTGTATTGGGAGACTGACTATCTGATAATGGCCATTGGAGTTTTTTTTCTTGTCTATCTGAGTATAAGTCAGTGTCTGCAGTTAATGGTGGGAAACGGACTTCAAGAAAATGGCCGCCGGAGATCCGCCTCTGAGTACACCCATGCAGTACACCCATAGCATGTGGTAAAAAGCTGGAAAACACGTGGGCAAATGTGAGTGTAATACTTATTGTTGTTTTAAATTTGATGCAATAAAAACCGGTTGCACTATGGAGGGTCTCTGCTTGTGTCTTATCATGATCCTGTGAGGAGCTGGCTGTTAGTCTGTTGGAGGCTGGAGACGTGAGGGGAAAGCCTGAGAGGGACCCATTCTGATAGGATCACTTGATCCTCAAAGCGTGTTGACCCTGTGGGGTCTAATGAAGGAGGTGAGGGGGTATTTTGGCTGGTAAAGGATTGGCACGTGTGTACCACGTATACGGCACATTATATATTCTTGCATGAAGAGTGAAGTGTGATGATCACCACAAATTATCGTATTACTATTATATTATTTTGGACTTTTTGAATTGATTATTTGTGCACTAATTTTGTGCACCAGTATACATATTGTTTCACAATGTGCAAATAGGAGTGTGTTTCACTTTTTTACTAAATATTCCCCGTGAGGGAATTCACGTATGACACAACTATTTTATTATTTATGTATTGATTTATCACCTTGGATATATATATGTAGGCGATGTATATAGAGTTTGTGCATTTTAACACGTAATTGTTAGTATTATTAGTGCTACACTATTTATTTTAATTGATCATTCACTTACTTGGGTATAAGTTTGGTGTCGGCAGCTTTTGAAGGATAGGATTCCATTTAAGCGCAGGAGGTTGTTTTTGGAATATTCTGGGAGCTACCATTTAAAGTCCCTTCAGTATAAAGGTTGAACAAATTTGACCATGTCTACAAATCAACCATGTTGGGCTCATTATTAATTTAGGAAAAAAAATGTAAACATACTTTAAATTGAGTTTGTATGACTGTAACTGACAGGTCACACATGTTGAAAATGAAATATTTGTGCTCTTGTTAGTGGTCTCCTTATCATTCTACAAATAGGTAGACCTGAACCCGGATAAAAATGAAGCTTCCGTAATGAGGTCTAGAAGTCTAATGCCTTGCTCTGGGCAAGTTGTGCCATCATGTAAAGAAGGGTAAAGGCATAGACACAAAATATGTAATGGTGTCACCAATGGTGTAATAGTGGCATGTAATCTGCAAATCATCAGCTTTTCTATATAATTTGTCCTAATTTATCCCAATAAAACTCAAATTGATTATTTTTTTTTTAACCCATATACTGTTTCATACGTGATGGTCAAACATATCATCTGGGTATTACCAAGCTTAGTGAGCTACGCATTACATGTTAATGTTGCTGAATAAAATAAGATCCACCAGCCAATGTAAGTTAAGAGATATTATTTTTTGTTTCAAAATAATTAGGAAATGTCTCTTTCCTGTACATGTCCAATTATTTATAGCTGTTGGTTATATTGTATTTTTCTAGGTAATGAGAAAATAGATCATGTAAAAAAAATTTATCAAGTTGCACTTTTTGTACCTTATTAAAATAATGGGCTTCATCCTGAATCATGTCGTTGTCACCTCCCTAAAGCACAGCACCCTCATTATAAAGTAAATTCTGTACAAAGGAAGTTTTGGCTATTTATATTTTATCAGAATTTACTACCCAGATCATTTAAGTCAGTCGGAGTTTCCTTTGAATTTTGCTGGTCAGGACATCTGCTTAAAAGGCTTCTGCTAAATGCCACCTATGTCTAAACTGAGTAGGGAGGGGGAAACTGCCTGAGTTCGAAACCTGAAACTTTTGAAACTCAAACTTAGCAGCAAACCCCTTTGAAGTCTAAGGGGGAAAATTATGATACTGAATTCTAGCCATTTTCAAGGCTAATAGGCAAGCTATTTCTCTAGAGTCAGTACATTGGGATGGGGAGGGGGGGATGACTGGCCACTACCATAGGGGACATTTAACTAAGCAAAGGAAAAAATTTAAAGCAGAGAAACATTTCATTGTGACTTGGAAAAAACCACCAATCCTTTAAATTACATGTTGGGAAATGCTTTTAAGCTGTATGTGCTATTACAGAACAGGGCAATTTTCATGAACATCATAACCTGGCATCACATATTTTGGATATGTAATTGATTTTTTTAGGTTTTACATTTAGCTTGGCTTAAGTAAAACAGTAGCATCCAATCTTAAAAAAATGGTTTTTAGGTAGGTAGGCTGCGACACCTGATTTTTTTATCAAGTAGTGATAGACCTACAGTCAGGTCCATAAATATTGTGACATCGACACAATTCTAACATTTTTGGCTCTATACACTACCACAATGGATTTGAAATGAAATGAACAAGATGTGCTTTAACTGCAGACTGTCAGCTTTAATTTGAGGGTTTTTACATCCTGAATGCAGGGTCCTGGGAGACCAGATATAGTGAATGCAGGGTCCGGGGAGACCAGATATAGTGAATGCAGGGTCCGGGGAGAGCAGATATAGTGAATGCAGGGTCCGGGGAAACCAGATATAGTGAATGCAGGGTCCTGGGAAACCAGATATAGTGAATGCAAGGTCCTGGGAAACCAGATATAGTGAATGCATGGTCCGGGGACACCAGATATATTGAATGCAGGGTCCTGGGAGACCAGATATAGTGAATGCAGGGTCCTGGGAGACCAGATATAGTGAATGCAGGGTCCGGGGTTTAGTAATACTTTAAGTTTTGTTTTAAAGGCAGGACTTACTTTTCTACACTGAAACCTGTAGGAAACACCCCTCCCGCATGAGGAGGCAGGCAGCAGCAAGAGGCAGTGATGATAGATTGTGTTTACAGTGAAGTGGGCTCCAGGAATGAGGAAGGGGTGGATAATGAGGTGGCAGACTATCTGTGGGTGCCTCTGTGAGTTCTGTGAGTGAGCTAGAACAGCATCGAAGAAGGATTTTGGCCAGCAGCAACTTGCAAGGTCTGGAAGGAGTAGCTACATCACAAACCCAGTCTCAAAATAGCAACCAAATCATTCTCCTCATTCATCCCAAGACCTCCTGCTCTCTAGCTCCTTTGTCACCTCCTCCCATGTTCACCTCCAGGACTTTTCCATAGCTGCTCCCATCCTCTGGAACTCCCTTCGCCAATATGTCCAACTATCTCCTATTCTGTCTACTTTTAGACGATCTCTAAAAACTCATCTCTTCAGAGAAGGCTATCCTGCCCCCACCTAGCAACTGCACATGTATTTTCTCCATCAGCCCATCCCCCACAGTTATTACCTATTGTATCAACTGACCCTCTTTTTTAGATTGTAAGCTCTAACAAGCAGGGCCCTCTGATCCTTCCTGTATTCATTTTATTGTAATTGTTCTGTCTGCCCTTACGTTGTAATGAGCTGCATAAACTGTTGGCGCTATATAAATCCTATATAATAATAATAACAATAATAATAATATCCAAATCCATCTGGAGGCAGTGCACCACAGGTATAGACCACTTCTAGGCCTAGGGACAATCCACAGAACTCTGAAATGACGGCCTTTTTTTAACAAATTTGGTGCCCATGGCACCATTGTGATCTGCAGCCTCTGCCTGCAGCATATCACACATAGTAAAGGTACCAGTCATTTGGGAACAACGTACATAAGGAAAAACATGGATCTACACCACAGACCCTGATGGCAGCAGCACCTCAATGAGACAAATCTGCAGCACTCTTCCTCTTCCTCACATCTCCCACTCCTACAACATTCTCCTGCTACATCTGTAACAGCATTTACAGGCTCCTATGACAGGGGGAACTCTTTTAAGGAGGTTTCAGAGACTTGGGATATGCTATGTCAAGCAGGAAAGAGGGTCAATAAAGAAGGTCAAGTGCAGGTTTGAACATCTGTAAAATTCTCCTACTTCCATCCTGCCATCTCCAGCAGTATTCTTCCCAAAGCAGGTGTCTTTTGCTCAGCTGTTAGATTGGAAGTAAAACATCCCTCTAAATCATCCTCATGACCATCATCTTAATGGCAGCTTGTGGAATTAGTCCCATTCTGCGAGTTAATGGTCTGTGCTACACAACAGTAACAGGTACTCAGCTACCATTAATTTTGCTAAAAAAGCCATCCCTACCCTCCACCAACATGTAATATGTAGTGTCTGTGTTGCTGGACCAGGCTGTCAGGATAAGAAAAGATAGCAATGGTTCAATCTTTCCCTACACTAACCAAAATAACAAAAACAAGTTTTGGCTTTACATATACCTTAAAACAGTGTTTCTCAACTTCTTTTCAGTCAAGTCACTCTTTATAATTCTGCACAATCTTGATGCACCCTTTAAAATTCTGTACAATCTCAAGGCACCTTAAAATTCTGTACAATCTCAATGCACCCTTTAAAATTTTGCACAGTCTCGAGACACCCTTTAAAATTCTGTACAATCTCGAGACCCATTACAAAATGTAAAAAACTAAACTAATAGGTGGGACACCCAACATCAGAGGTGATTTGTTCTTCCAAAACCAATTCAACTTTGCACACTAGAACTGACTAGTATTCCAATGTTTCTCTTCTCCCTCAGTTTCTCTCTCTCAGCTAATGTGACCCCAGTGCTGACGGAAAGGGGCTGAGGAGGGCCAAGCAAGGATGCAGTGCAGGTTCTGAACTTCTTATCAACTGCTGACATCATTGGGTTTTATGTCATTGGTGGCTAGAAAGTTGTAATGTGCACAATGAACACCTGTGGCTTTGTGTAACTAACAGGCAGGCTTGATCCACCTGCTACAATTTTTGGGCAATTTTTAGACATTTTGCCAAGGCACCCCTGAAGAAACCTGAAGGCACCCTAGTTGAAAAAGGATGCCTTAAAGTGTTACTAAACCCACAACAGTAAAATCAGTCTGTATATGCATTAAAGAATCCTTGTTATACTCACTGTGGAACCTAAGGGGTTAATCCTCCGCATTGTGTAAAAAGGCTGTTTGATCCTGTCTTCTCTGATCCTTCTTTTGCTGTCCCCAATCCATCTGCCCTAGTTCCAGCAGTATTGACAAGTCTGCACATGCTCTATTTGGTGTGTATTGCTAGAGAGGGTGCATGTGATCAGCACAGGGCCAATCAGTGCTATCCAGACAGAAGGTCAGTGGTTATGCAGCCTTATAGGACAGTCAGAGCAGAATGAAAACTCCTCCTACAAGATTAACCAGTGCTCTGCTGGGCACTGATAGAATGTCACAAGACTGCTCTAACTGCTGATGAGAAAAGGTATTTAGCAGTTTATATTTATTAAAATAATTGCATTTCCATGTTCTGTGTACTGTGGAAGACTAGATATAGTGAATGCAGGGTCCTGGGTTTAGTAACACTTTAAGTGTTGTTTTAAAGACGGCTTAATTTTTTACACTGGAACCTGTAGGAAACACCCCTCACACGTGGGGAGTCATTAGACTTGGAGGAGGAGCTCCATGTAGCAATGGAGAGGAGATCCTGCAGGAGACAGTTCCAGAGATTGCTTGAGTATTGCAGCAAGTGCAACTTTCTCTAGTTTAATAAGTTTTCCTATTCTTTTTATTATTCTGGAGTTATTGATATTACAAGCATTTATATAGCACCAACAATTTGCACAGTGCTTTACATATTGTACATTCCTACTTTACATTCATACATATACATACTAGGGTCATTTTGACAGGAGCCAGCCAGCATATCTTTGGGGTGTGGGAGGAACTCCGTACAAGAATAGGGAGAACGCCCGGTTGGGACTCAAACAAGGGACCCTAGTGCTGCAAGAAGTGGTAACCTCTAAGCTGCTGTCAGGCTTTAATTAAGCTAACAACGTGTTAATTTTACATAAGTAAGGATAAGAGTTTGGGTTACAGGGAGGGTTAGTGTGAACATTATTATTATAGTGAGATTTGGTGTCACACCCATCAAACACAGTATGATTATTGATCAATTCAAATACGAGTGATCACAAATAGGCAATTCCTTATCAACTCAATTATCAATTTGTTCAACAAACACGGATAGTCCCCCACTGCTGATCAGCTATCAATCAAAAAAATTAATTGAGAAACTATTTATTTACGTAATCATTTGGTGCTTACAATCAATTCTCTGATATTTAGAACCATGTCTCCATACAATTTATAAAAAATGGTTGGTTGAAAGGGATCAATTCTTATTATTGGTCAGGTGTGACATTTTAGACAGTCTGTATGCAATCTAATCACTTTGGTTGCATCAATCGGCTAATTTGATGACCATACTGGTATGTTTGTCGCCACTGTTAGTGTTACAGGCGGGTAAGGGTGAGGGATCATTATTGTTGGGAACCAAAACTACAATCACAAAACTGCAGGTGCTGAAAGCTAACCTACCACCTTGCACTTTGGCTGTGATTGCAGTGACTGTTGGTCAAAGGCAAGAGGTGTCACTTAGACCTCATAACATCTATAAATCTATGTATTGTGGCATTGGGGTGATTATGCTCATGTGGTAAATGCATTTTCCATTGAGTTGTGCCAGTCCAAACTGTATTTTATCGCATGGCAGCTCACTTTTATTAAACAAAGTCCATAAACTTAAATTCTCATGCATGGGTTCTGCAACATCAAAAACATGAACCGAACAAAATGCTAGCCCATCTGGCTAATCTTTCCTCAGACCACTGGCTCTTCGGGCTTGCTCATCCTTGTAGATTACAGCACCTCGCTGCACAGGCCCTCTCCTGGCCTCTAAATAGGGTTCTGCAGCCCCTCGGGCTTTCCCAACCTTCCAGGGACTTCTTGATTCCCTCCAACCCCCTGGACTCACTAGCCACCTCAACTTTCTCAGCCTCCTAGTCCCTCTCTTGGTCTCCCAGACCTGTGTAGTTGTCTTGACTTTCACAGTCCAGTGACAAGGAATCCCCCCACCATGGGGTGCAGTCTCCTTCAAGAACACACAGCTCTCCAGACAGGGCTCTGTCTCCAAATGGCAGCAACTACCCTGAGCTCTCAGGCCCAACTTATAATGGATATGTGCACTTGAATACACACAACCTGCAGGTTACTAGTAGGAACTTGACACAGGGTTGAAGGTTTTGTCCCATCCAAGACATTTTGGAACCTTCAAGCTCCATGCCCCCATCCGGAAAACCTGGAGAAAGCCTAAAACACAGCCTTCAAACAAATGCTGGAGGTTCTCAAACTGAAAACCTGAGAATCCTGCATCATTCCTAAACTCATATTGTGGGAGGGCCTTACATTGCCTATCTATCTATCTATCTATCTATCTATCTATCTATCTATCTATCTAAAGTTTGTTTTACCCTAAATAATGCATCTGCAAAAGCTGTGCTGTATTGTTAGCTAGGGTTTATGATACTGTTTGCTGTCACACTGTCAGAGAATTCATTTCTGGTTACACTCTCCGGAGAGTCAGCAGACCATTTATTATACATGTTGTCACCCAATCTCTGAAAATATCCAAGCTCCCTGGAGTACATTCCCAAATTCCTTTATAATTTATCTATTGTCATGACTGTGAGCCTGCAGTGAGGCTAACAGCCTCAGGTATGAAGAGTCACATGGAAACGTGTAATTGTTTGTTTCACACCATCTCATATATGCAGATTTTCCAAATTGTCCTTATTTCCCTTCGCAAAAAGATAAAATAATAAAAAAGAAATGTTTTATAAATGTATTTAACACCTAAAGTACTTCTGATCCATTTTCAGATTAAACTTTAATGAAATGGAAATCACTGAAAAAAGAGGAAGGAAGGAAGGAAGGAAGGAAGGGAAGGAAGGAAGGAAGGAAAAGGAGAATTATACTGCTCAGATAAAAACATAAGTTCATCATGTAGCACATGTAATGCACAGCACAGCTTGCAATGGTGTAGAGTTACATGATGGTGTTCAGTAGTGAAAGCCCCCTTAAAAATTAGTTGTTGGTTGTTAGTGCTCCTGTAATCATTGACTGCCCTCATAACTTTGATGCTTAATGGTCATAACATTAGAACACCATGGTCAGTGTCCCTATAAGATTGGTGGCCAAAAAGTGATAATACCCTGGACCTACTGTATGCAGGGATATCACTCTGCCCTGTCATCTCTACAGCACAACATGTCACTCTGTCAGAGGTGTCAATAGCCTGGGACATTAGCCACAGGTGCCCAAATATATTGATGCCTGTGACCCAGCATAATTTATCTCATCCTTTACCTTTACGGTCATTTGGAGATGGTGGAAGTCATGTTGAGTCTGTGACCCCACCACCACAACATAGATAGGTTTCTAGATAGGCATTGTAAATTTAGTTTTTTGGGCTCTTCTGTAATCAGCAGAACAGCTTGTGATTGCTTTGGATAGTTTTAGACTTCACTGGTTGCAAGTTCAGCTGCTTCCTCCTGCCTTCTGGAGGATTGTAGAATGCAGTGCGTTGGAAGAGACAGACCCACAGTCTGAATATTTATGTGGTGTTGGCCAATCCATAGGCAATGGTGTAGAGCAGGTGGCTGAGGAGAACATACATAGTTGGGGGCCTGAGGCAGCCCTGTTTTTGTCCAGGAGAAGTTTCCAGCCTGAAAGGCTGCAGCCCTTCTAGGCAGCCCAGCTGAAATCCTACTTTTGTCATCAAGGCCCCAGTTTGCTAAAGCTGGGGTGGAGGGGACTTGCTGAAAGTCTCTGGAAATATTTAAGGGTTTCACTGGCGATCTAGTCTGGAGAGTTCACTGGAGAAATGTCTGCCTGATATTGGAAGGAGGCATCCAAGTATCCAGGGACATTGTGAGTACAGACTCAAGTGCTTGATACTGGTGACTAGTGCTGCTGCTATTGCCCTTGTGCATCAGTACTGGTGCTTGCGTGCTGTGTTGGGTCGTGTTGTGTCTGTGACCCCATCAGCACCAGCTATGTTAGATCAATATTTTTTTTTCACTGTATTTTTTTGCTAATGCTGGGTCATTACAGAAATGCTATGGTTTCTTGCCAGGTAACTGAAAAGAATAACACCTTGAAATTTCAAATAAAGAAAGACTGATAGCCACTGTGCACTGAAATGCAACCTCGGCAGTTCTTCTCGGTAAACAAATCAGTGAATCATTCCTGAAGCAGGTTTCAATGCAGAACACTATTACTTAGGGTGATTGTTGAGTTGTATAACGCTCCAGCAGGACATAAAAAATTTATAGACTTGACTAAGCCTAAATTTTGGATAACGCCTTATGATAATGTATTATATATCAAACTTTAAAAGAAAATTACCAACAAAATGTTTTTGTTGAATTCCAATATATATGGACCTTGATGTATTTTCAATATAGTTTAGTTAAACACAAAATTGATATGTGTGTGTGTGTTTTTGGTTTGTTTCAAATACTGTGGAATGCATTCAGCATATACAGTATAGTTTTAGAAAGTGTTTGTAGTATTTTAATGGCAACAGTATCAAAGGAAGGAGGAAGGCTGCTGGATTCCCACTCATTCAGATGTATTTTTATGTTTTTTATTTGGTTCCAGAAACTCTGTATATTTGGGCAGGATCAAAAGACATGCAAAAGGCAGTCCTCATTTTTTGGCACCTCCAATAAAGGAGATAACACTGTGGAAAGTGTTTGCAAATTGTTTTAGGGACCCTATGCCACAGCAAAAGGAATTTAAAGCTTGTATCCTGAATCGTACTGGAGATATAGGTGCTGTGGGTCATCTGCTCAATCCTATCCTTTTGCTGACCTGTAAAAGTGGTGCTTTTCCCATTTAGCAAAGTATGGGTACTTATGTATAACCAGGTGCTCGAGTAAAGGCAAAATTAATATATTGTCACCCAATATGGTCGGTAACTAGGCAAGCATAAACTGGATTAGCAATGGTAATAACACAATTTAGCATCCAAATCAGCATAAAGAGTATCAAGGCCACCTCAAGTGCAGTAGTGAGCAGTAGTAAAGTTTAATCTACTGAGTGTTGGAACTATACTGCCAGAGTGCATTTATGATGGCATTGCTGGTCCTAGACTGACTGGTTATGCACTGTCCAAAAGAAAAGGAGAATAGTAGTGGAGGGGGAAGGGGAACACAGAGGGCTTGCAGAATAATTATTATGGGAGGGGCAGAAATTTGAGATGTTCTGCTAGTTTATCGTTGGGGTCCTTTAAGAGTGTTGGTGCACATAATGATGATCCCAGTTAACCTGCAAGCAGTAAAGGTACATTATAGGTATGGTATAGCCTTGGCACCAGTGCATAGTAGATTCAGATGTACTAAAGGTTCAGTATAATGCAGTATAGGGTTGGTATAGGTACAGTCTAGGTTTGGAATAAGTGCGGTAAAGAGTACATTAAGGAGCAGTATGGATTGGGTATACTTGGTGTCC